TCAAATGAGGGCCGGGTGCAAACGGCACTAGCCACAAATACACCAGAAAGCCCGCCAAGAATTACTTGCGGCGTACGGTCGTTAAACTTTAATGCGCCATTCAAATTCAATAGAACCGATTCAGGGGCGTCCATCTAGCGGGGGTGGATAGTAGTGCATGGATGACGATAGAAATGTCAGATTAACATGAAATGAAATGCAGTTTTTAAATGTTAGTCTCCTTCAATACAGAAAGACAGTTTGTGGGAGTAGTGTGGATTATAGGAGTTGTTTCATTGTCTTAAAGCAGAGAGCTTCTTCCACTTCAGGAGTTAATAGTACATGAATTATCTACAAAAAAAGTCGAATTCTCTCCCAAAAAACGAGAATCTGAGTTTCTCCTAGTTGCTAACGTTAGCTGAGCTTATTTCTCAGACGACAAAAAACCTTCACATGGATAAAATACTGAGTTTAAAAGCACTAAAATCTAGAAAAAGCTTTTTTAAATGGGCTTAAAACTGGATAGAAGGCACATTTTTGACAGATTCTTGCAGGAAACATGAGAAAACGCAGCATTATCTTCATTTAAATGACAAAATATAAGTTAATATCACTTGGGATAATGCAAGCAAACAACTCAACTGAATATTTAACAAAGCTTTAGTTGTTTTCAGACCTTTTACGTGTCCCCTAAACAGTAGTGAGTGACTGAACTCATCCGACTGTCTCACAAATGTGTGCCGCTATAAGAGATAATGAAACAGAATATCTAACGAATGCAGGTCCAGATTTAGATTTTGGGAGAGCATTAAATGATCGCGTCCACATTGCTCCCAGTGGGACTCCCTGGTTGTGTTGATGCTGAAACACACTCGGTATAAATAGACGTCCAGGAACACGGATACAAAGTAAACAGAGTGCAAAGTGGATCTGCGCTTCTCAGCACTGACGTCTGACCTTTAGACGCTCGTCTCTGCAATCGGTCTTATCACACTTCACTCTGAGCACCGTCTACGTCCGAATGAAACACAATGCTATGTGTTCACTGTCCCTTCAACACACTGGGAGAACACAGGAGGTAAAGCATGCTTTTGATGATCAGAAAACATTTGAATACGTCTTAAAATCAATTAGAAAATATGTTGGGAACGTTTTTATTCCTGGCTTAAAGTTGTCTAAATTCTACAAAGTGCTACAGCATGTTAGCTCTCCAAATGCTCAACGTATATCCATCATTATCAGCTAATTAAATGCCTTTTAGCTTTCAAATGAGCCGATTTTATCTGTGTCACATGTGATATTTAAGACACATTACAACAAGGGTTGTTCTTTAACTCTGACACCATTTTTGATTTGTTCCCAAACGGCACGTCCACACAGCGGCTGTGGAAGAAGCTTGCCGGCGGGCGTGTCTGAAGCTCGACCAACAACCAATCACATGAATCTCCCGCCCCTGACACACAAGCAGCGGTTTGATTGGCTAGAGCTTGTACTGGCATATGATTTGATTGGCTGACGCTTCCGTCGAAGCTTCAGAAGATTCAAAAGTTGAACATTGCTCAACTTTTGAAGCCTGAGATGCCTGGAAATCTCCGCTTTGCTTCCCACAATGCAGTTCGGCTCAAAGTGAATGGGCAGAAGCGTTGTGTGGACGTACCGTAAGCCTTCTAGAGAAACAGCTAGGGAGAAAATTAGCAGACACACGAAATATATTCATGCAATTCATACACATGTTTGGAGCTAGCTGCTTTCTTTAGAAAAGACTCGGCATTACTGCTAGAGTTCGGTTTCGACTGAATTGCATAGTGAAAGAGAGGCATATAGGAAGCCAAGCTAAACCAAACTCAAGGTGTCATTTTAAAGTGCTTACATTGTGCAATATCATCATTAACGTCATGATAGGTTAAAAGGACAACTGTTGCCACTTTAATATCATACGCCATATAGAGTGGTGCAGAAAGGAGTCCCAACACCGCTCATGAGTCTGCATTTTAACACTTCCGTTTCCTCCTCTGGAAGTCAATGCTTTTTGTGGGATTTTATAGAATTTAACACTTTTTTCTGTCATAATATGGAGAAAAAACAATTGGTGGAAAGAACCAGGGAGATGCTAACTTCGCCACCACTCTATCTCCACGTTAGCATATTATTAAACTGTGTGTGTGTGTGTGTGTGTGTGTCTATTCCTAAAGATGAAAGACTCTGAAATGCCTCCTCCTGTACACATGCAGTACACAAACACAGTACTGAGGCTCAGTTACACAGATACTCTGAACACACACACACACACACACACACACACACACACACACACACACACACACACACACACACACACACACACACACACACACACACACACACACACACACACACACACACACACACACACACACACACACACACACACACACACACACACACACACACACACACACACACACACACACACACACACACACACACACACACACACACACACACACACACACACACACACACACACACCTGAAGGAGCCTAGGAATAAACTGTAGATCCAAATATGAGTCTCAAACAATTAGTCACACAGAATCGAATTAGCCATCATGAATATTTAGTTTGACGAAATGTAGTAATGACAGAATAGTGCGGTGTCACTTCCTGTTTCAAATGAAGCCGGAGCGAGCTGTAATTAAACTCATCCATTAAAGGCTGTTGACAAAGATTAAACTCTGGAGGGACAGGAACTCCCACTGGTATCAGAGAATCAAATGAGCACCTTTTTACAAACGTATCATGAACAACAAGCAGGTCTGGAGGCTGTCAGAGTAACACACACACACACACACACACTGAGCCCTGCCCTCTATTAGTGGACACAATGAGTGTGTAAGAGGATCTGAATGAAGGACTCCCCTGAGGACTCGTACTGTTAGAGCTCATTAAATGAACACGAGTACAAACACTGACATGTGTGAGGTGTTCACTTACACGACCAGATTTAGCCGTTTGTGTCATGCAACACACACTTTGTTGAGAGCACGCCCCGTTCTGTTCCTTTTGTGTGCGTTGAAAGAAGTCATGACACACTCAGGCTTTACATAGAGAGAGTGAGCTTCATGGAAAATACTTAAGAGCTCACACACACACACACACACACACACACACACACGGGGTGTTTATTGTGATGAACTTGAGGGAGTGATCATATTTAGAAACAGAGAAGAGCACAAGGTGACGAGGAAGAGGTAACGATGAGGAGAGGAAAGGAGGACAGGAGGAAACCAAAAATGAAACGGAAGACCAGAAGAGATGGCAGAGTGAAAAGTGTTGCATGAAGTTAAATGTAATCCAGCAGTGCCCTCTTGTGGACAAACATGGAAGTGTTTCAATTTCTATTAACCAGACTGGAGCTCTTATTTTATCAGTATTTGGGTCTTTTATAAGCCCCGTCTTCTTGCTCGATGTGCACTAAAGCTGCGACAGTTAGTCAGTCAACATAAATATAATTGTTGCCTCTTTAGATGTATCGTTATTTTCCTGCAAAAACGCCGGAAAATGCTGTTTTCAGCCTCTTTTATGTAATATAAAAGTGAATATCTTTGGGTTTAGGGTTTTAACTATTTCTTACATTTTGTAGACCAATCAATTAAGGCGAGACACCCCAGGTGAATAGGGTAATTTTTTTAACTTAAAGGTATCAGCTAGAAATTTCTCCAGTTAATTACTTACAATAAGGCAATTGTCTTTTGTATTACAAGTTTCTGAAATAGCATGTTTAAATATGCAAATTATCCATTATCTCATTAAATATGCACATATTTTAACACATTTCAGGAATCGAAATCTGAACTTTGGATATAGCCAGATTCAAAATTCTTGTTTCATTTTGTAGTCATATTAGTATCTAAGGCTTTTACAGAAGGGATATTGGATATCTCTTTTTATCACTCCATAAATCAGAAAATACTGTCAACAGCCCTAAAATATCCATTTTCGCCATGTTTTTAGGTATACAATGTTGTATAATTCAGGCTATGAATGATATATGAACAAACCCTTCTGTAAAAGCCTTCATAATATTGATAGGAATATAACTGGAAGGTTTGGTGTATGTACGTGCAACTGAAGTTGAAATTTCGAACTCAGAGTAGGAGAAAAAACTCATTTTGAGAAAACGACCTTTAAAGATTGCAGTGAGGCGCTAGCTAAACCCTCCTGTTCTTTGGATGACAGCTTGCGCATCGACGCACTCCGTGAAGGTATTTCATGTTCAGGGTCATTTGTTTTTTGTCTAACCTTGCTTCGTGCAAGTGACAATTGTTGTCGTCTTCTCTGTGAACGTTTTTTTCGCCGTTCTTTTGGCATTTTGAGATTTCAATTTCTAGCAGAAAGCTAACCAGGAAGTGTTTTAGCACACCACGTGACGCATCTGAACGAATCACGTTGTCAGAAGTTGACACCAGCCAATGAGATTTCATTTCTTGGTTTAGACCCCTTTGTGCTTTCACGATTGGTTGCTGATACAAAGGAAATGACCATATTTGGATCTGATGAGATTGTGCAGGAGAGACACAGCTTTCCAGCGATACCTCTGTTGACATGGTGCACACAGCGGTCGCGGTACTTTATGTTACGTTAGAAAGCTAACTTTTGGTGAATTTAGGAGAAATCTACAGACGCAAATAGACAAACTATAGTAAAATAAACACTTAAATGTGTATTTTGTACGTTTTCCTTCCAAAAGCCTGAAAGAAAACATGTTATAGAATCAAAATAGCACAAAATCTCAAAATTGACCAGTACTTGAAAAACGATGTTTTTGCCTGCCGTGTCTCGCCTTAATCCCAAAAAATAAATTGTAGTCAAAGTTTGTACTGTAATAAATGTACAACTAAGAAGCTTGTTTTAGTTAAGTTTTTTAAGACGTGCATTATCTATCAGTCTCATACAGTGTTTATGCAGTGTGTGTGTGTGTGTGTGTGTGTGTGTGTGTGTGTGTGTGTGTGTGTGTGTGTGTGTGTGTGTGTGTGTCTCTCACCTCTCTCCCCTTGTGTGTGACGAGGGCGGCGAGGGGTTTGGCGTAGAAGCGGCTGAAGCTGAAGCCCAGGCAGCCGTACATGCTGTTAGCCGTTAGCTTCAGAGCCTTCTGACGGATATCATACTGACGGAGAGACAGACAACGAATATTAGAATAGCTAATTATCTCAAACTGCAGTTGAGGTTACCCGTGTGTGTTTCAAGTTTCAAGGCTCTATTGTCATTAGCACATTATGTGTGTACCTGCAGGTAGAGGTCAGAGTTGAGGTCCTGCTGCTTCATCAGCTGTTTGACTTGTTTTCGTCGCTCCACCAGCTTCCTGATTTCTTTGGGCAGGATTCCCATCTCCAGGCTCTGATCGGGAACTTCGGGAATGTCATCCGACCCGTCCTCCTGTTACCGGGGAAACAAGAGATGGAAGTTTAGTTGGGCATTTTACGTGAGGGGAAGACTGGGAAACTGAGGATGTTGAGGCTCGTCACACCTCAGAACCGGACCAATCTTTAGA